GTATGTTAAAAAATACAGAATCACTAAGGAAAAAAAAAAAGACTATTTTTCATAGTTCAAATAACTTTGATAAATATTTGAAAAAAAAAGAACGTTTTTTTCAATACATATCAGTCAAATGATTTCTTGGTTGGTTTCTAATAAACATTTGTATTATTTCCACTGATTACCGGTGTTATTTGTTGTAGAACTTTGGAGGACTGTAACTGAGACGGTTGTTGCTGATGTTGTACACCCATCAACAAGTATTTTCCAAAAAAAATTAATAGTAGTTCATTTATTTGTTTCTTTTTTTTTTAAGTTTTTGCAGTATCTGCAACAGCAGTACCAAGTAACTTTTTTAAATATTTCAATTAAAGTACTGAAACAATCAGACCAAAACTTTAACTGACGTTAAAATTCTATAAACAGTTTTGCTGTGACGTGTAATACAGCAATCGCCGTTCCGAAAAATGACTTTCTGAACACAATACGTAACACAGCGCTTCTGAAAGAGTAGTTCGTGTTTTTTTTTTTTTCAATATATTTGTCTTTTCAATTATTGCTTAACGTTTGGAAACTACAAAAATAAATATAGAAATTTTGATAAGACATACTGTAAAATCATAAAAGAAAAAAGAAACTTGAAAAAGCTTTTAACCTATTATCCTGTATACAGGTTAAGATATAAGACTACAATGCCATTTTTGTACAACCAATTTTAGCACAATTTGGTGAAACTTTTTTTTTTTAAGGCGTTTAATTTTGATCAACTAATAAAGCCAAAAAAGTTTCATCATAAAGTATTTTTTCCAAAGAGACTGTCGTCTAAAAAAAAAAAATTTTTGTTGCAATTTTTGACTTTTATTTCTGTAACCTTCAGTTACCAAATTGTTAAATTCAAAAAGCACTTGATATCTGTGACAATATTGAAGTACACATTCACTTTTTTTTTCACCTAAATTGATGTAGAAAAGAATTACTGAAACTGAACTACAATAAACTTTGATAAAAAATATATATTTTACAAAGTATACAAAATAAAAAAGTTGCCTAAATAATGTGCAGAATCTATAACGATTT